ACTGGGCGGCCAGATCGTTGTGAATTTTTCAGTGAAAAATCACCGCAACGAAATCTTTCAAACCAATTTCGACACTGCCTTTCTTTTAAGGCTTCATCTCCATATACGGCACATAACTTCTTTTGTGCTTGCGATGCGTTCTTGCCTTTTCGGAAGTAATACAATAAAATGTGTCGGAAGTGCACGTCCTGTTCTTTCATTTTTAAATTGGGATAAAAACAAAACTAAAGAACTAAACAAAAAAAATTTTTTGCTAATTAACCTAGAAGCCCATACAGTAAGAAAAAAATATAGGTTAGATGCTCTGGCCACGTTAACAAAACAAAAGAAAGTATAGAGTAAATCCGTCAACAAAATCGGCAATGACTTAGTTGCTCACCCAATAGAACTAGGAACCACTTTCCTTTCACATACAAAAATTTGTAAATGCATAGACGTATGTCTAAAGAAGGAGTACGCGATAGACTTACTCCTAAGTGGTGCACTCTGGGCAACGTATACTCACACGGCAAAATAGTCAATAGACCGACAGTTGACGACTGACTTCAAACTACCATGACCAGGCTGTGTGTCATATTCGACAACTTCACAGTACTCGTCTTACCTTTTTCCACACCTTCGTGTCTGTCCCTTTTTAATCTGTTAATCACTCTTCTGTTCCTCCCACCTGTGAAGCCCGAGATCAAACAAAGAGCTAATGGTAGCCAACATATCAACAAGTAAATGCCTAAAGAAATTTTCTATGCATTTACGAATGCGATTATTACGGTTGATTTCGCTAATTGATTAATCAAAATATTCATATTTATCTGCAGTTAACCATAATGCTCAGACTGAATGTAAATCATTATACATTTATACGCAATAAATTCTATGCAACTCACAGAAAAATGGTCAACAAACTCCACAGGGACGGAAGACATAAAGGGACATTCAGAACACTCATATGTAACCTTTGAGAAGGCACTAGCCGACGCTGAAGGAAGCAAATGCCTTTCCTGAATATGCGCGCTTGCAGTGGCCATATCCGGAAATTGCAAGGTGTAATTCAACCGATTTGCAGAACTATTCACACCTAAAACAGAAAGGAGAATTTTAGAAGAGTGAATAAGGGAATAGTTTTGAAGCTCACCTTCCTCCAGTTTGGTTTGCGGTGTTCCACACAACTGGCAGGCATATTTCCGAGGGGTATGGGCCTCGAACCAATGCTGGACGAAACTTTCCACAGAGAGAAAGATGCCTTCACGACATGCAGCAGCAGGTTTGGAACAGAGCAAAACCTTCACGAGGTTAAAGTGGAAACAAACAAAACGAAGATGGAGTCGAAGACATACTTCAGCTAACGGCGGAGGTAAGTCTGGTGGAGGCTGGAAAAAAGGGAATCAAGGAGATCACAGTGAAGCCCCTGACTTAACTCCAGCTTTTGACTTTAGACTCTCTGTCTCAATTTCGTCTAATTAATTTTATTCACACCCATATTTACCACACGCCCATTTCAAAATGCAGTGTGAAGAACAATTTATGCTTCAGTCAAAACCCTCATGAGACTACTTTCATATGTGGCTATAACGTGTAAATACGGTCGAAAACGAAATGATAATAAAATGCAAGGCAAAAAGTTCGGCCCTTTTAAAATCCCAGGGCGATGGAAATCTCTGAATGTTTTCGTCAATATTTTGAAAATAATAAGTCGGAAAATTTTGAAAAAAAAAGAGTTAAATGATAGACACATTTCAAAAAGTCAAAATAACTGATGGCAAGATCTTGATAAGATTTCGTTGATCTATGCTCGAGAGTTTCGCATAGCTGTCCATGTTTTATCAATTATAACATATCAGGTGGACTTGCAAATCTAATAAATCAAAATCTACATCTTTCGCTTTAGTAATAAGCAGCGAATAGTGTTTCACAGAAGTAAAAATTACTTAGAGACTGTCTATTAAGAACTCGAATTGTAAACCAACTTATATTTACTCCCCTGGTAACAATAGTTCAATTCTACATCCCCTATCTATGTGATGTTTTATCAAACAAACTAGTCATAAAGAGTTCTCGAGTGCAATCGTGTTACCAAGACCAAACAAAGCGCGAAAAGTAAGTGAGCACGGGTTGATTATTACATTAGCCTCAATTTGAAGAACAGACAGATTCCAACTGCAGACTTATTGGCTTTAACTCGTGTAAAAGACCGCAAAGATAGAATTAACCAAGCTGCAGGATTATCAAGCATACATAACCCGCGGATTACTTAAAGGAAAGGCTAAAACTAATTTAAGAGTCAAAAATTATTTGGATAACAAGTAAGAAACTTGAAAAATGAGTTCATGAGGAATTGAAAAATAATAACATACCGCAAATCCACAGTGGGGGCAAAAGAGGTAGATATCCAAATGGAAGAGAAGATGAGCCTTAATCGAGCACAGTAGAGCATCACGTCGATTATGCACTAGAGGAAGGGAGCAAAGAGCACATTTTGCAGTGGCCATATCGGCCATATTGGAACAACCAGTGAGATGATTTCTCAAGGAATTACAGGAATCCGTTCGAAAGGTCCCACAAAGCATACAGCGCAGAGTTCCATTTTCCATAGTGGAAGATAAATTAAAGTGATGCTGTGAATCTTTCAAAAGGGCTTCATAAGCTTTTTGAATTTCATCAAAACTAGCTGTCGATGGAGGAGACGGCGTGGCTTCCTGGGTACAGGAGTAATCGATTGACGGATACCATCCAGCGAGGAAAAAGTGTCCATGCCAAGAAGAGGCTTCCGCAAGGCGAAAAAGAAGGTGGGAAATGGGGGAATTGAGAGACATCGGAAGACCATCGTTAGAGAGCCCACCGCTTTCTGACGCATTAAATGGAGTCGAAATGAAGTGATCAGCGAAAACTGATGTGAATCGAACGTCTGGAGATAAAAGGAATGTGTCATCTCCGTCTCCGCTATCAGGCGGCTGAAATCGAAACTCACTCACACGAAGCATGTTTCTAAAATAAATAATAACACTGAATACGAATATTTCATTTTAGCTCAGTTAATATTGTGATTCGGTTAAAACCCGCATTATCATAGAAACTACTAATGCATGGTGACCCTCGAATGGACGCTAAACATAAACTTGACTATAATATTGGAACCCGGTTGAGGACAAAGCATAACCCAGTTCTTCAAATATTCAACCACTTCTGAAAATAACTACTTTTGGAAACTGACCATCTGTCAATAACAATACTGGACGATTAGATTCCAATAACTTTAATAGAAGACAAAAGATAAGTTATGGAAAATCTAAAGTTAAAGAAAATAGATAAATTGTAAGATTAAAGTGCTTTCAGACATTTAAAAAGTCCGCTACATTCTTTTTACCAATGATCGATCTACATTACTGTAGCTGGCTATTCCGGCCATTGGATGTCAAAAAGTATATAAGCAGAATATATTATCTAATGGAGAATGGGTAACTAACGTCAGACGTCGATCAATATCATTGTTAACGTCAACGAGTTCCTGGCCTTCGGAATAGATGGTCTGGGGGAATGCAGACTGGGAAAGTTGCTGCTTCAAACCGTCCTCCAAGTTGCCAGTAAGCCAAGGAAGAGCGGTGACGGAGAGACGCGAGGGAATGAGTTTCCAAGCTGAGGGTGTCTCTAGGGGGTGATATTGAGCCATGTGAGCATAGAGGGCGCATAGGTTTGGTGCCGAAAGATTACCAGATTGCTCAGTCGAGGAAGTACGTTGGAGGACTGGAACAACAGCGTCAGAAGTGGATGGACAGAGATGGCAACGATAAAGGACACGGGCAACTGGACGATTGATGTGATTGGCGTAAAGAGATGGAGAGGAGAAAATCCGTTGACAGTAGTAACACACATGGAAACCCTTTCGACTCTGTTTTGCCTGTAAATTAATCATATGACGCAAGACATCCCAGTAACACCTCTTCCAAGGGGTTAAGAAATAAGAGATATGGTCTGTTTAGGAAATACCACTATATATCACCGTCTCAATGTGTCATTTTGTAACCTTTCCCATTGAAACAAAGTTATCAAAATAATCACTTTAAATCTTTAATAAAATCTATAAAAAAGCCTCTTCGAGTGTGGATAATTTTACCTTATCGAAGGACATTCAAATACACTCACGCGTGAGTTCACACGTCTAGCAATTGACCGATAATTAAAAAGAAACTGTTTGAAACACCATTTTGGAGGATGGAAAGCCCCACTGCGTCTGCAAAAAACTAGCCCCTTTTAAGTGAAGTAATTGGTAATATAGATAACTATTCGAAGCAAGTTTTGATGAAATCGGGGAAATAGGATTTAAAAAAGAAAGTTTCAAGCGCACTGAAGGGGATTCAATGTCTCACATGCACATGTAGTAGAGTAAATAACGACTAACGTTACAAGTAAGACAATGAAGGCGATGTTTAACGGCAACGTTAGACTAAAAGTTACCAATCATTAAAAACCGATAAAAGTAGAAAAACAATCTGCTGAATAAGGGAAAAAAGAACCACAAGTTAATTTATTCAGGCTACTTTGTACATTGGTTTTAGTGGGTAGCGATTAAAAAGAAAGTTGAACGGAGATTAAATGAAGAACTTACTGGTTCTTGTGATACAACTTGAGAGCTTCTGTTAAGTAATACAGCAGGGTCCAACTAAATGAAAAAACAATAGATGATTCTAAAGTCCGTTAATCAGAACTGTCCCAGTAAGTTTTTTTAAACGAATGCAATCAAATGATTCTCTTGGTTCAATTTTAAAAAAAAATTATTATACATAGCTCAATCTCTACCTTCCATTTTTCTCGGCATTCTAAAATTTTACAATTTTTTCGATGACGCGAATCAACGCCTCTTGATAAACTAAATTTCAATTGGCTAATCTGCCAGCTCCTGAAATATATTGCCAATGAATCTCGTTTATATTTTAGACAAATAATTTGTATTACAATCAACTCATTTGAAAATAGCATGTGTATAGTTTAGATTGGTCGGTTACTGATGGAGGTTTTCATTGGTGCCTTAATGACTTATAAACTAAAGGAATACATTAATATGTTGTACGGGACAATGTACGTACTAGATACTGATAACCATGCCTTCAGGATGAAAAGGTGGATTTATGATGTTCTTTCAAACAAATTAGTTAGTCGACACCAGTGAACATGGCTCAAGACAAAGGAGTAAGGTGAGAGATAACCATTACGTAAGCAATCTCTAGATTACTAGCCACATCTATCAAAATTATGGCAAACGATGAGACTGGCGTCTTGATAATTTGAATCTCAATAAACGGTTTTCGAAATTCAATCATATAAGATAGACTTTTATCCCAATAAAGTCATGGAAAATGGCAACGCGATTCCTTGTATAGGATAAGTGTTGCCTTGCGGTTACTGATGGGTATCTGGGTCATATTAAAAACTGAACACTACAACAATTATAAATTAAAAGCTGATAAGCAAATCCAGTTCCAATGTCCACAAATCCCAACAAAAATTGAGGCAATTTCTGGTATATATCAGCACAAGTTAAGACTCATTGAAAATCTGCGTAAATCACAAATTATGTAGTTTTGAATGGTTTTAGTGTTAGCCTTAAGCGAAAACGTGAGCCCTAAGACTGTTGAGTGTTAATCCAAACACAAAACGAATAGAGATCAACTAACTTCTAAGTCTGTCTTTTATATCTTATTCTACTGCCTTTTTCAACCAACTTTTTATTTTACAAGAAAGGGAACACATAGTAGAGCTTATGCTATGGTGACTAAATCGACTTGATCCATCGACACTTGATCCATACTAGAAACACGAAAAATTATCATGTTGATTACTGCAATAACAATAAAAAATTCCGGAAACTAGTAATAGAATACTTACCCGTAGAACCGAGCTCATTTCTGATTGAGCCTTAGCTTTCAGTCTCTTGAGAATTGAGGATGAATTGAAGATGGGAGATGATTGATTCATGCCGGTAGAATGATTGAGTGGTGGTGAGAGAAGTGATGATTGTTGTTGCCTTGGCATCAGAATACTCTGTCTGGAAGAAGCAGTTGAAGTTGTAGTTGGAGGAACAGTGTATACATCAGAACCGCGAGTAATGTTGGAAGGAGCCATTGCCGACATAGTGATAGTTGGGGAATTGATTGCTGCTGACACAGAAGTGGGCGGCGGCATTCGCATTAGTTGCTATCACATTAAAGGAGTTATTCACAGGATAGGCAAAAACCATCGATTTAAGTCGAGAAAATTGTCAACAAATGGCATTTACATTCAATTTCGGACCACACCAAACTGCAAAAGGATCATAAGTAAAAAGAAGAAATTACCCAGCCATAGTTGATTAACACAATGGATAAAGAAGACTCCTTCACGGGTGAATGTATGCTGGTTTAACTTAGCAAGCAAATCCACATCAAAACGTGCATCATAGTGATGTGAAGAAGACTCAGCCAATGAAGTTTTTGCAAAAAAACCTTATAGTACACACAAAAACCATTATCGTTTAGTTAACGAGATTATTGAGTGTCAAAGTTGAAATGTACATGTTTCAACATGAAAATTATTGGTTAGTGTTTCAGCAGTAAGCCGATTAAGAACCATCTGTCGAAGTTTTGGCTTATTTCCTTCTCAGAAGGTAGTGATTGATAAAATTCGGACCACTAAAGAGCAAATTGCTATAGCGAATTAAAGCAAACGCATAGACAAAAGTTCGGTTAAGTGTAAATCAGTAGATTCGACCCAAAGAATCGCAAAGAACAGAAAGATATAAGAAAAGAACTCACGGGGTTAAGTGCGGAGTTGGTGTTATAGCAAGGATCGAAAGTTCTATAACCAACGGAAAGAGAACAAGATGGATAATCGTAAAGCGATGAAAATCTTCCGAAATTAGGTGTACATGAAGGAGGTTAAGGAGGAGGATAGCAATTATCGGACGCGCAATCCTGGAAGATTCGAACTGGTGAAATAAGGAGCAGTGAACAAAGCACCGGAAACATGAATAGTGCTTCACAAGACTAAGTACTCATACTAGTGACACAATATTATTGGAATAAAACACTCATTCAACCATATTAAGCTAGTTATAGTTAGCAGTACCAAAGTATATGAATAACAAAATGATATATAAATTAGATTACACTGTGATTAACCAAATTTATTTCTTTCGCAGAGTCTGGGACTTGGATGGGTGAAGAAATCTATAAAAAATATACATAATCATAATCAAAGTAGAGAAAAATAATAATAATGGGAAGATATTAAATACCGGAAAACGACATCTACTACCCGTCTCAGGAGGATGTTGGAACAATGAAGTATAGGAGGAAAGTAATGTATTATTCGAAGAGAGAGAAATCTAAAGTGCGAAAATGGAATTAACTAGAGTATGTTAATAAAAATGAAGCCGGTGACGATAAGGTGTACCGGGCGAATGGGAGGTGTAGTAACCTGAGCGAATAAATTAAAAAGATTAATTAAGCATAACAAATCAAACTGAACGAACAAATATTACTCTCTGAAATAATCTTACGCCCTGATTAATTGTGTTCATGAACGGGAGTGACAAATTATCACCTTGCGACTGATGGTTGTTTGGTTCACTCTTGATATTCGACAACAAGGCATCTTTTGACTGATTATTTCGATTAGGATTATGTTGATTCATCTATATAACATGTCGAGAATCATTTATATAAACCCAAAACATGCCAGAAACCCTTTAAAAGCCTCGGATACGCTAATGTGCTACAGAGGCACACCCCTTCATAATAACGCTTTTTCCTTGATGAAATAAAACAAAAATGTATAATGATAAAATCGTTTAGAAATTCATTTGGAGCATGTCCATTTTGTTATGTGCTTAGAATTTGTCCTTAAAAACAAAGTTCTCATGTATCGATTTATCGGCACTCAAAAATGTAATTATTCCTAAAGTATTTATTTATTTATTTCAACTGGCAGACGTTTGGGTAGTTATTATTAACTTTTTAGCTGACTTTATGCTTCAAAAAGATAAGAAGGAACATCAAAGTGACAAAATGTCGAGATTGGGACAGAATAATGATTCACGTATAAAATGGAGTCGGACTGGCACAAAGTCAAGGAAAAGGTAAGATGAGTGCTGTAGAAGTTCGCGCCACTTGAAGGTAAGTCTATCACACACCCCCTTCCCTTCCCCAAACCAAATATTGAATCTGTTATAATAATAGGGCACGCCACAAAATATCACGGACGATGAACCATTTTTAAAAGTATGGAAAGGAAAGATTTATAATGTAACCCATTATTTATGAAGCTAAAAATCCAAATAAATCGTTTTAAATAGTAATTTATAATGTGAATTTCGAGATATATATGTATATTATATATATTATTTTATATATTATTTATTTTTTTATAATTGGCACCAATGATTGCATACTTTCCTAAGCTTCTTATTGCACTATAATCTCTTGACGAATTAATAATAATTTGACGTAACCTGGAATATCAATAAAACTTTTTTTATTCTATTAAAACTTATCTTTTGAAATTTTTGTTATAATTGACGAATTCAAGTAGAACAAAACGCTCTTATCTCGGACTTCCTTTAAAGTTGGTTTATAGAGTATTTTAATCCTCAATGAATTTAAATATTTTCCTTCAAACATCTATACTGTTGAAATGTTAAGAATATTAAAAATAAATCCACTACCTCTTATAATCGTAATTGAGATATTTGCGAAATTGTTAATATGACCTAGAACACGAGTTACCTTTGTGGCAAAACGAGTTTTAAAATCTAACGAAAGCCCCGTAAAGGAGTTAAATGAAAAAATTGAAGAAATAAGGAAAATCATAATCAATTGGTAACGATTTAGACCATTGTCAGATGCAAAATTAGCACTTTTCGTTCTTCCGTAAAAGGCAGAAATATTTATTTATCGAAATGGTAAACTTTATGTTTGTTATCAATTTCACTTTAGTCGACATCGGGTTTCACAAAGGTTGAGGAACATCAAAGTCACAAAAAGTGGAAGGGGTGGGAAAGAAGAGTGATTCACAGATGTAAGAGAGTCAGATACAAAGGTAGAGAAAAAAGAAAAGATTTTTCGAATATGACACACAGTGGGGTAAGTCTGTCGCGTATCCCAGCCAAAAAATTTCGTTAAGCTATAGTTTGAATGATTTCAAGGACATTCGTGCAAAAAGCGAGAGCATTTTATGCTAATCGCCTGAAAATTACGCATGTTTGTGGTTGTTTATTTATAAATTAAAAAAACCTTATATTAAGTTGCTACAGTGTCATGAAATTTTTGTTTTTAACATAGTGTCACCTACTTTTGGCCTACACAACTATTACACTAAACTGTTTCCATAATTTTAAATTAATTTTTCTTGCTTGTAATCAAACCGCTTTTCCAAATATATTCATTCATTTTGATGTCCACAAATTGAGATGAGATATTAGGGTAAAAGTGCAAATCCGTTTAAAATAGATTGCGACGCTAAATGCACGTGTACGATCATAACGAAAGCATATATAAAAAAGTTCCTTATTAAATTAAACCATGCAACCAGCAATGTTTGGCACAAAACCTTGATTTGAAATGGATATAAGGTCAGCATAAGGTCTCCAGCTTAATTTGATATTCCGAACGTTGTCTGATTCGGTCTTACCTTGTCACGAAAATCAAAACTTAAAATTTTTTTTACAATATGGACCATTGTATATTAAATGAAGAGGTGTGCGATAGACTTACCTCCACGTGGTGCACCCTGGGCAACGTATACTCATACGGCAAAAAAGTCTATTAACCGGCAGTTGACTTCTGACTTCAAACTACCATGACCCCACTGCATTTCATATTCGAATAATTTCACAGTACTCATCTTACCTTACCTTTTCTCTACCTTTGTGTCTGTCTGTCTATCTCTTTTACATCTGTGAAACATTGTTCTTTCCCCCTCTCGACTTTTTGCCACCTTGATGTTCATCTTCCTTTCTGTGAAGCCCGAAGTCAACTAAAGGGCTAATGATACCTATCATAACGCCTGCCATTTGCAAAAATAAATAAATAAAATATTAAATGACTTTGCGAAGTGCTACAGCTTACATTTTACCACAATCATTTCAAGAAACGAGTCACAACTCATAGAGGTTTTAATTGGAACCCTTCAAATTTCACTTCCCTCCTGTTGAATGAGATATCTTTAAATCTCCCTGTTTTGATAAATTAGACTGCATAGCGTGTGGCCATAGCCATTTTTCAAGCAGGCACAATGCAGCTTATAAACATAATATTTTCGATGCTAAATGACGTCAAAGTGGTTGAATTCTTAGCTAATAAAGGGTATACATTTACATTTTCTATTCATTTTAGATTCATTTAATTGCCTTTGAATAAATTGTTCACTTTCACCGTTCGAATATTCTTTGAGAGTGATTCTGGAAGGTCAAATGGGAAAGATGAAGTTAAACTGGTTTTAGCCATTTAATAACTTATTTTGCTCTGTATTGATCATTAATAGCGAAATAGTCACTTATGGAACGAAACGTAACAGGTGGCCACCACCAGACTTTTATATATTATTTTGTAAAATTTATAACTTGCAGATATAAACTCTGGTTGTTAGATCTTAAAGCGATATGCCAGAGCTTAATATTTCCTTAATTATTTACTCGATACTATAGGACTTAAACAATATTATATCCAATGTCTATTTCTACAATTTCCCAAAGGTTATGTTTTGGGATGATCAATATCAGTTAACCATAACTACCACTGAGCATTTTGAAAAAAGACTGACAGATGCTTAATGGGTGAAAGAAAAGAGGCATCCATGTCCATTCGCTGCCACAATTGCAGAGTAGACATCGAAAGCGTGTTCACTATCAAGAGCTTTCAGAAGGATGAAGAATCAAACAACTGAAATAATATCTAGAGACAAAAATAGTTGAATTTAGAATGTCCAGAGAGAAAGGAAAAGAAATCTTCTTATATCTGCGCGAAAAATTGTAAATGAATTTTGCCAAAATCATTATATGAGGTGTTTAATGAACTGATTTCATAAATATCTAATGAAATTAAGTTCAATGTAAAAGTTACGGAGCAACCACTTATTTCCAATAGACGGGGCATTAAATTTGCTTATAAAAATAATCAGTTGTTTCGTAAAGTCAGATCTTGATGAAGCAAAAT